CCCAGAGCATCCAGGCTGGGAGTGCCCAGGCTCGGAGCGGCCGGGCCCGGGGCAGCCAGGCCCAGAGCAGCCGAGTCGGGTGCGGCCAGGCCCGGAGCAGCGGCTGCCAGACTGGGAGCGGCCAGGCCCGGGGGAGCAGGCGGGTCGGGTGCGGTCAGGCCCGGAGCAGTGGCTGCCAGGCTGGGAGTGGCCAGGCCCGGGGGAGCAGGCGGGTCGGGTGCCAGGCTGGGAGCGGCCAGGCCCGGGAGCAGGCGGGTCGGGTGCGGCCAGGCCTGGAGCAGCGGCTGCCAGGCTGGGAGCGGCCAGGCCCGGAGCAGCAGCAGCCAAGTCCAGAGCAACTAGGTCGGGAGCGGCAGTGACCAGACCCGGAGCAGCTGGTTGTGGAACGAACCAGAGCAACAGAGGCCAGGCCCTGAGCAGCCAGGCCCGGAACAGCTCGCTCCTCGCCTGCCCCTGCATCACGGCTGCTTCTCAGACATGGCTGGAAACTTCTCAGACATGGTGGGAACTTGAGGGTCTGCTGAATCAAGTGATGAAGGATGTGTGGAGTTAATATAGGGCTGGGGTGTTGATCTGTGAGTGCCTTGGGTGGGGCCTGGATGAGGCTGGTGGACCTAGTGGGAAATGTCTTTTGTGTGAAGTGTATCATTGGGCATGTGGAGGTATTATTGATTTGAGAAAATGCTAAGTAACTGATTTACTATATGAAAAAGGATTTACTATTGGGGAAAGGGAGGGGGGAAGAGACTGAACATAAACTGCACCTATGGATGAGGACAATGGGGGATGGGGAGGGGGTGGAGGGTGGGGTGGGAACATGGTGGAGGGGGGAAGAAATGAGGAACCTTTGTAATAGTATGAACAATAAAGATTTAAAAAAAGAAAGAAAGAAAGAAAATATTTATTTAGGTCCATTGCCCATTTTTTAATTGGGTCCTTCACTTTCCTTTTATTTAGTTATGTAAGCTGTCTGTAGATGTTGGAGATTAAACCTTTATCAGTGATAACGTTTGCAAATATGTTCTCCCATACAGTGGGCTTTCTTGTTTTGTTGATGGTTTCTTTTGCTGTAAAAAAGCCTTTTATTTTGATGTAGTCCCATTGTTTATTTTCTCTTTGGCTTCCATTGCCCTAGGGGCAGTATCAGTGAAGAAGTTCTTTTGGCATATGTCTGAGATTTTGCTGCTTGTGGATGCCTCTAGTATTTTATGATTTCCCGTCTTATGTTTAAGTCCTGTATCCATTTTGAGTTTATTTTTGTGTATGGTGTAAGGTAGTGATTTAGTTCCATTCTTTTGCATGATGTGTCCAATTTTCCCAATACCATTTATTAAAGAGACTGTCTTGACTCCATTGTATGCTTGTGCCTCCTTTGTCAAATATTAATTGAGCATAGTGATTTGGGTTGATATCTGGATTCTCTATTCTATTCCATTGATCTATATGTCTGTTCTTGTGCCAGTACCAGGATACTTTGAGTACAGTGGCTTTGTAATACAGCTTGAAATCTGGTATTGAGATCCCTCCTACTTTACTCTTTTTTCTCAGGATTGCTGTGGCTATTTGGGGTCTTTTATTGTTCCAAATGAATTTTTGGAGAGTTCTTTCTAGATCAGTGAAGTATGCCATTGGAATTTTAATGGGGAGTCTAGCTAAGAAATCTTTACCTACTGCAAGAACACAAGGATTGCCCTAGCCTGTTTGGCTCAATGGTTAGAGCATTGGCCTGTGGATTGAAGGGTCCAAGGTTCGATTCTGGTCAAGGGCATGTACCATGGTTACAGGCTCCATTCTGGCCCCAATTTGAGGCACTTGCAAAAGGCAACCAATTGATGTGTCTCTCTCACATTGATGTTTCTCTCTCTTTAATTGGCTGCGTTCTGCATGCCCCACACTGGGGATCAAGCCTGAAACCCAGGTATGTGCCTTGACAGGGAATGGACCATGACCTCTTGAGCCACGTTGGCTAGGCAGAAATTTGCATTTCTAACAACGTTCTCAGATGCTGAGCTGGCTGATCACACTTTTAAAAACACTGGCCTAGAGCAAAGCATCTGGCAGCTGGTAGATACTGAACAATTAATTCTCTGAGTGAATGGGTAAGTCACTTCTAGAAACAGAAGTCTTCCTGGAGTTAAAAGACCAGCTAGAAGGTAAGGTTATATGGGAAGACGGATTTAAAAATACATTGGGGCCGAAACTCGTTTGGCTCAGTGGATAAAGCATCAGTCTGCAGACTGAAAGGTCCCAGGTTCGATTCCGGTCAAGGACGTGTACATTGGTTGCGGGCACATCCCTGATAGGGGGTGTGCAAGAGGCAGCTGGTCGATGTTTCTCTCTCATTGATGTTTCTAGCTCTCTATCTCTCTCCCTTCCTCTCTGTAAAAAATCAATAAAATATATTTTATATATATATATATATATATATATATATATATATATATATATATATTTTTTTTTTTTTTTAATAAATAAAAAAATATATTGGGTATATATGTCAGGGAAGAACTTCCGAGTTTGGATTCAGAGAAGGAACAATTTTGTTTGTTTGTTTTCTTTTTGGGAAGAAGGAACAATTTTGGGTGAATAAGGCCCAGGGTTGAGCCTTCCAGGGGAATGACAGGAGGCCAAGAAATTGAGTGTTGCAAGGGTCATCAAAACGGATCAGATCTGGCAGAGGCTTAAGTTAAAGGGAAGCTTCAATAGAATTCAAAATCTGAAGAGGAGGCTGGAACTTTCTGGGTCTAAATGATGTGAAGCTGACGCGTATGAACCCACAGACATTGTAGCCACCAGGTGAATGCTCCACAATCATAACAATCTAAGGGGTCTGAGACTCTGGGCCACACCTGTCTGTCCTCCTTTAAGGAAGGTCTGCACTGGACCCCGGCTTCTGTGGCGGAACTCTGGGTGGAGGTCAGGACCTGAGGACTTCAGCCTATAGAGAAGCAGCTCGCCCAAACCGGTGTGGCTCAGTGGATAGAGCGTCGGCCTGCGGACTGAAAGGTCCTAGGTTCGATTCTGGTCAAGGGTGTGTGCCTTGGTTGCGGGCACATCCCCAATGGGGGGTGTGCAAGAGGCAGCTGGTCGATGTTTCTAACTCTCTATCCCTCTTTCGTCTTCTCTGTAAAAACGCAATAAAATATAAAATAAAATGAAAAAAGAATAATTACAATTAGGCTGGTGTTAGGCCATGGTTTTAATATATATATATATATATATATATATATATATATATATATATATATATATATTATTATTTTTTTTTTTAAATAAAGAAGCAGCTCACCTTCCGCCCAGCCTAGGGCTTAGGAGCTGCTCAGTGAAGGGTTTGCAAAGAATGAATGAAACTCCCCCAGACTGACACTGTGCAGGTGGAAAACTGCACCCCGGGAATGATGGTGTGCCCTTTACAGTTTCCCTTTACCGCTTCACAGGAGCGATGCTCACACACCCGGGTGTGGCTGTGATCAGGGTGAGGTGACGCCGCCCTTAGCTTGTGCTCCTCATAGTCTGTGGTGGTGCCTCCCCTGCTTAGCACCTCGGCAGCCTTATACAGTTCCTTCCTCCCGGCCTGCTTCCTGCCTGTGAAATGCCCATAACAATAGTATATGCAGCTCTGACCGGTAGCTCAGTTGGTTGATCCTCAGTCAGGACACACACAAGAATCAACCAATTTCTCTCTCTCTCTCAAATCCTATATAACAAACCCTAATATGCTGAACGGTGGAATGACCAGACCAACCAGTTGCTATGACATACATTGACCACAGGAGGCAGATGCTCAACGCAGGAGCTGCCCTGCTTGAGTGCCTGCCCCCCGCAACACCCAGAGGGAAGTGACCGGTGGCTGTGATGGGAAAGCAGGGCCAGCCAATTGGCAGCAGCAGGCCACCAGCCAGCCAAGGCGGGTGCCAGCGGGACACCCCCATTTCCTTCCCAATCACTCTGCCCATTGGTCACCCCACAGATGGCCCTGATCATTGGCCAGGCCTACGAACCCTACCCTAAACATTGGGAATAGTCTCTTAGATTTAAAAATTAAAACCTGCCAAAACCGGTTTGGCTCAGTGGATAGAGCGTTGGTGTGCAGACTGAAAGGTTCCAGGTTCGATTCCGGTCAGGGGCATGTACCTTAGTTGCGGGCACATCCCCAGTAGGGGTTTGCAAGAGGCAGATGGTCGATGTTTCTCTCTCATCGACGTTTCTAGCTCTCTATCCCTCTTCTTTCCTCTCTGTGGAAAATCAACAAAATAAATATATATATATATATATATATATATATATATATAAAACCTGGCAAGGCTGCTCTAACACAGGATGATGCAGCGGTGACATGCATGGACTCTGGCTTGCACATTTTGTGGTCAGCCCTGATTCTGACACTTATAACTGTGTGACAAAGCCAATAACTTAACTTCTTTCTGCTTCAGATTTTCCACCCATAACAGGGGGAAGATGGCACTACTGCCTCAGAAGGATCACGGAGGGCAATGTACTACTTTTTATAACCAGGGCAAAAATGTAGCTGCCACACTTTCACCTGCAGGAAAAGCATGGTCACTGGTGCACGCAGCTTCCCGGACTGTGAGAGGATGTCCGAGGGGTCCTGGCTTGGGAGAGGATGCAGGCTGGGCTGAAGGACCCAGCCGCCCCCCTGCATGAATTCCGTGCGCCGGGCCTCTAGTAAATAAATAAAGCATTCTAAAAACCGTAGCGCGCCATGCAGGGTTATCGTGAGGGTTACTGAGGCAGTCAGGCAAAGCTCTGGCCCCAGGGAGCCCTCCCAGGCATTGCTAGTTAAGCTCCGTGGCGGCGCGGCTCCTTTCCCGGCCCCTTCCGGGCTGGGCCGCGCCACGGCTACGGACGCCCACCGCGCATGCGCGGAGGGGAGCCGGAGGTCCGCGCAGCCGCAGACGGGCCCGCCCGCCCGGCCCGCCCCCAGGGGTGAGGGGTCACGGGATGCGCAGGGCCGCGGCGCCGCGCTCTCCCGCCCGGCGATGGCTCCGGCGCAGCGCTGCTCTCTGTGCCGCCAGACCTTCTTCTGCGGCCGCGGGCACGTCTACAGCCGCAAGCACCGGCGGCAGCTGCAGGCAGCTTTGGACCGGCTCCTGCCGCAGGTGCGGGCGGCGGGGGACGGGGGAGGGCAGACCAGTGAGGACCCGATGGGATGGGGGAGGGGGCGGGCAGACCAGTGAGGACCCGATGGGATGGGGGGGGCGGGGGAGGGCAGACCAGTGAGGACCCGATGGGATGGGATGGGGGGGCGGGGGCGGGCAGACCAGTGAGGACCCGATGGGATGGGATGGGGGGGCGGGGGCGGGCAGACCAGTGAGGACCCGATGGGATGGGATGGGTGGGGGGGCGGGCAGACCAGTGAGGACCCGATGGGATGGGGGGCGGGGCGCTCGGTGCCTCTCTGCCTCCCTCTCGGCCTCCTCCGGCCATCCCGCCTCTCCCGCAGGTGGAGGCCGCCCGCAAGGCCGTGCGCTCGGCGCAGGTGGCGCGGTACGTGCCGGAGCACGAGCGGCGCTGCTGGTGCCCGTGCTGCGGCTGTGAGGTGCGCTTGCACCTCAGCCACGGGACCCTGACGGTGCTGCACGGGGGGCTGCTGGAGCACCTGGCCAGGTGAGCCTCCCGCGGGGAGGGAGGGCCTGACCAGGGGCGCGGGTGGAGGTGTGCCTAAGGGATAAGAGGCTTTGGGCTGTCTCGGGAAAGCCAGCAGGGCAGGCAGCTCGAGGTCACCTCCTGTCACCTCCTCAGGTTCTCGCATTTTAGTTGAGGATGGAGACTGGACATCTGGAAGAGACTAGTGACTGTTTCTCTGCCAGCCTTGCCCAGAGGCAGAAACCCAGATGTCAGCTGGCATTACTTATCTAGTACCTGGCTAATACCTGAGCAACAGTCTATAATCTATCATTGATATTATCCACATTCTCCATTCTCAGCCCAGAGCATAGGAAAGCCACAAACCGGTTCTGGTGGGAGAACAAGGCTGAGTTTCAGATGAAAGAGAAGTTCCTCATCTCCCCTCAGGATTTTGCACAGTAAGTCCTGCTGAGGAGGGACGAAGGGGCCGAATGTGAATTCTCTGGGTCTGTGTCAAGTATTAGAGCTTCCTCTTAGTTGGAAAGTTTAGTAAAGAATTTATAAGTGTCTATTGTCTTCATAGGACTCATTACTCTAGGTTCTATAGTGGACAAGAGTCTTTGAGAGGTTTATGATCTAGTTGGGGATGGAATTACAAGTGGGATTTAGCAAGTAGAGAGCAGTAGGTAGTAAAGGTTGACTAATCAATGAAGGGTGGCACAGTGACTACCCCCAGCACCCACTCGCAATAGTTTTAGACTCTCTGCCTCTGGAGGGCCCTTAGAAACGGAAGTGCAGCAAGCTGGTCAGCCCAGAGGCAGCGTGAGCCTGGCTGGCTCCCGGAGGGACACGCAGCCCTCGGCACCAGGCATCTGGGGGCCACATTCAGGTGGTGGAAGTGGACGTGACAGAGAAGCTAGTGTCTGTCATTCCGTTCTTCTCAGTGTGGAGAGGATGAGGGAATGACAAGAAATGCTTCAATCCGCCCTTGCTGGTTTGGCTCAGTGGGTAGAGTGTCAGCCTGAAGGGTCCTGGGTTCAAGTCCAGTCAAGAGCACATGCCAGGGCTTCCAGCTCAATCCCTAGTAGGGGATGTGCAAGAGGCAGCCAATCAATGATTCTCTCTCATCATTGATGTTTCTATCTCTCTCTCCTCTCCCTTCCTCTCTGAAATCAATCAATAAAAAATAAAGACCCAACACTTAAAAAAAAAAATGCTTAAATCCCACTACCTGCCTTCACACCTGTGGCTCAGACTAGGAAATGGCAATCTGAGGCCAAAAAGCACTCACGTCTCATTACCTGATCCAGCCACATAGGAGTTTGGGGGTGGGGGGTGGGGTGACTGAAGGATAATTAATCAGAAAAGTTTATTATTGAGAATTATGAGGACAGACTCTTGGAATTGATGAAAATACTAGAGGCCTGGTGCACAAGATTCATGCACTGGTGGGGGGGCGTGGCCTGTGGGGATGTTCAGCTATGGGAGCACAATGACCATCAGGGGGCAACTCTTGCGTTGTCTCTGCCCCCTGGTGGTCAGTGTATGTCATAGCAACTGGTTGTTCTGGTCATTCTGCCATTCAGTTGTTGGGCTTTTATTATATGTTGGACTTTTTTTTTTTTTTAATATATTTTTTATTGATTTCATACAGAGAGGAAGGGAGAGAGATAGAGTTAGAAACATCGATGAGAGAGAGTCATCGATCAGCTGCCTCTTGCACACCCCCTACCAGGGATGTGCCTTCAACCAAGGTACATGCCCTTGACCAGAATTGAACCCGGGACCCTTCAGTCCCCAACCTGACGCTCTATCCATTGAGCCAAACCGGTCCCAGCTAGTTTTGACATTTAACCGTATACATTTTTTTGTTGTTAATCCTCACTTGAGGATAATTGTTGCATTGCTTTTCAAAGAGTGTGGGAGCAAGGGAGAGAGAAACATGGATGGCACATCAACTGTTGCCTCCCCCAACCCAGGCATATGCCCTTAACTGGGTATCCAACCAGCAACTCCAGGGCCTGGGCTGATGCTCCAACCACCATACCACGCCAGCCAGGGCTAATTTTACACATGTTTAAAAAAATACATTTTTATTTATTTCAGAGAAGAAGGTAGAGGGAGAGAGAAATAGAAACATCAATGATGAAAGAGAATCATTGATCGGCTGCCTCCTGCACACCCCCTACTGGGGATTGAACCCACAACCCAGTACGTGCCCTTAACCGGCATCAAACCTGGGATCCTTCAATCTGCAGGCCGACACTGTATCCACTGAGCCAAACCAGCCAGGGCTAATTTTACACATTTTAAGACCACATGTAAGACCAGACAAGACCAAGCCTGACTGATCAGTAATGATAAAATGAGCCACTTTTCGGGTTAGACAGTTTGTTCCTTACCTAGACAGCAAAGAGAGTATGCCAGCCTCCCAGGTCCTTGTCCAGCACGCCAGAGGGACTGCACTGAGACACCAGGGCCGGGGGACCTCAGCATGAGGGGGGTAGTGGCTGGGAGCCAGGTGTCGGCTGCGGCTGCAGCTGCATGGTTCTCAGGTCGCAGCTCTGCTCTGTGAGAGCAGGACAGAAAGCCCGACCTTGTCAGAACCTCATCAGAAGCTGGAGGTTGATGAGAAACTGTCTCCTGGCAGCCTCGCAGGGGAGAGAGGGTAGGAGATGGACTCAATGCCTTCCGGGCCTCTTGTCCTCTTGTGTTCTGGGATCACACAGGCATTTAGCCAAGACCGACAAACTGCGGTTCAAGGCTTTGATTAAGGAAATCAAAGCTACGTGCAGGGCTGCCAGGGTACTGTGGGAGAGCTGTTCCCCACAAATTAAAATTTCATTAGAGCCCTGACCTGTTTTCCCAGTGGTTAGTTGGCCCGCACAGCAGTCACGGGTTGGATTTTTGGTCAAGGGCATGTACCTTGGGTGCATGTCCTCAAGCCCCAGTGGGGATATGTTGGGGGGATGTCAGTTGATGTGTCTGTCACATTGATGTTTTTCTCTCCCTTCTCCCTCCCTTCCACTCTCTAGAAATAAATGGAAAAAATATCCTTGGATGAGGATTTAAAAACTTTTTTTTTTCAGTTAGAAAACAGATCCTAAAATTGATTGCAAAGACAAATTTCCCTAATTATAAGTCAAGTTTATAAGAATCACAAAAGAATAAGAATTCAAGTAACTTTTAAAAAATATTTATATTTTTTTATTTCAGAGAGAAAGGGAAAGGGAGAGAGAGAGAGAAACATCAATGATGAGAGAGAATCATTGATTGACTGCTCCCTTGCACACCGCTACTGATTGAGCCGGCAACCTGACCATGTGCCCTTGCATAGAATCAATCCTGGGACCCTTCAGTCCACAAGCCAGAGCTCTATCCATTGAGCCAAACTAGCTAGGCTCAAGTAACTTTTGTTCACAACATTCTGACTGTATGTTAAACACAACATTTAAGACTGTACATCTTAGCTGAGACCGGTTTGGCTCAATGGTTAGAGCGTCAGCTTGGGGACTGAAGGGACCGGTTTCGATTCCGGTCAAGGGCATGTACCTTGGTTGCGGGCATATCCCCGGTGGGGGGTGCGCAAGAGGCAGCTGATTGATGACTCTCTCTCATTGATGTTTCTAACTCTCTGTCCCTCTCAATTCCTCTCTGTGTAAAATCAATAAAATATATTAAAAAAAAAAGACTGTATATCTTAAAGGGGTATTTTCTAAGGACTAAAGAATTGAAATCTTAGCCAAAACCGGTTTAACTCAATGGATAGAGCGTCGGCTTGGGGACTGAAGGGACCCGGGTTCGATTCCGGTCAAGGGCATGTACCTTGGTTGCGGGCATATCCCCAGTAGGGAGTGTGCAAGAGGCAACTGATCGATGACTCTCTCTCATCGATGTTTCTAACTCTCTATCTCTCTCCCTTCCTCTCTGTACAAAATCAATAAAATATATTAAAAAAAAAAAAAAAGAATTGAAATCTTAAGCTTTGCTTAGTAGTTTCACTGTTAATAGTGATATTGGTATTCTGATACTTTTGTGTGTGTTATAGGACAGTTTACCCTTGAACAACATGGGTTTGGACTGCATGGGTTCACTTATACATGTTTTTCAGTGGATCAAACTCATGTTGTTCAAGAGCCAACTTCCCAATTGCGAGTGTGTATGCTGAGGACCAACTGTAGTCATACCTGGATTTCAGCTGTGCAGGAGTTGGTGCCCTAACAGTAAACTGCCTGTTAATGTGTGAGGAACCAGAGATTTCAGTATGGCAAAAGGAAGAGACCAGCAGGCATGGAGGGATTTGGTTGGGAGGTATCAGTATGAATTTTTATTTAAGGAAATCAAAGCTCTGCCCTCTGAAAGAGCTATATGTGCACCTCTGGAGCAATAACTTTACTAACACTCAGCTCTGTTTCTAAATATGACTTTCTACTGCAAGAAAGCAGATCTCATTGGAGAACAGTTGATTTTAGGCTGGAGCAGGGAAAGTACACGGTGAACCCATGGAGTGGTACAGAGGACAAGAACTGGTTTGAAGAGGGTCTCAATAGTCACATCCTGTCTAATAAGAGTAATATGCAAATTGACCATCACTCCAACACAAGATAGCCACCACAAGATGGCCAGCAGGGGAGGGCAGTTGGGAGCAACCAGGCCTGCAGGGAAGGGCAGTTGGGAAGGGGGCAGGCCAGCAGGGGAGAGTAGTTAGGGGTGACCAGGTCAGCAGGGGAGGGTAGTTGGGGGGGGAGGGGACCAGACCTGCAGGGGAGGGCAGTTGGGGGTGACCAGGCCAGCAGGGGAGCAGTTAGGCACCAAGCAGGCTGGCAGGCAGAAGCGGGTAGGGGCAATCAGGCAGACAGGTGAGTAGTTGGGAGTCAGAAGTTCTGGATTTTGAGAGGGATGTCCTGACTGACCTGTGGGATTGGGCCTAAACGGCAGTCAGACATCTCTCAAGGGGTCCCAGATTGGAGAGGATGCAGGCTGGGCTGAGGGACATCCCTCCCACCATGAATTTTGTGCACTGGGCCTCTAGTATGGGATAACTTGAATATCAAAGAGTAATTGACTTTCATAAATGTGGTCATGGTTTCATGGCTCCATAGGGGCTCTCAGGAAATGCATGCTGTGGTGTTGTCTCCTGATGTCTAAAATCCATTTTTGCTTTGGCAAAAAGGAAATGTGTGTAGAAAAGAGAAGTAGAGCCAGAATGAAAAAGTGTTAACAGCGTGTCTGGATGAGAACACACAGGTGTTCACTGTACTATTTTCTTTTTTTTAAATATATTTTTATTGATTTTTTACAGAGAGGGAAAGGGAGAGAGATAGAGAGCTAGAAACGTCGATGAGAGAGAAACATCGACCAGCTGCCTCTTGCACACCCCCCACTGGGGATGTGCCCGCAACCAATGTACATGCCCTTGACCGGAATCGAACCCGGGACCTTTCAGTCCGCAGACCGACGCTCTACCACTGAGCCAAACCGGTTTCGGCCACTATACTATTTTCTTTTGTGAGTTTGAAACTTCTAAACATTTAAAGAAAAAATTATCTACTGAAGATCTTTTCACAATTGGCAGGGCCTGAGGTTCTGGGCTGACTTGCCCTTTTTCTTTTTAAGATTCAAGAAATCCATGGTGAAAGGTTTGGATTCCTATGAGGAAAAAGAGGACGAGGTGATCAAACAGGTAAGTCACAGGGACCCGGCCCCCTGGCTCTTGTGCCCATCTAAGCAGCCTCTCTCCCGCAGATGGCAGCTCACATCCGGGCGGTGGAGCACAGCCGGCAGGAGGTGGTTCGGTCCATCTTAGAGGTTGGTTTCCCTCGGAGAAGCCAGAGCAGTATCCAAACCCACTGACCCTGCTTCCCCAGGCCCAGCGTTTCCCCTATCAGCTCTGAAACTCATGGATCCATGCTTCACCTGCTCTGCCTGATTCCCTTACCTCTCCACGAGGGGAAGCCTTATCAGTGGAGAAGATGTGGGCAGGGCTGGGAGGCGGGGTTGCTGCAAGATGGGCAGTACCCTCCATATTCTGGAGGGTGGGAGCATGGCCTAGGGAGACTCTTGAGCATCCTAGACACATTTATTTTTCCTGAATCAAACTCAGTCTCAGGCAGTGCCAGACCCAGAAGAGGGCTCTTCGGCACCTGGAAGCTGGAAAGGGACAACCAGGTAAGATTGGAGGGAAATCTCGAGTTGAGTTTGACCCGTTAGAGCATTCTATAACTTTTTTCCCTAATATATACATACATTATATATATATATATATATATATATATATATATATATATATATATATATATATATTTTATTGATTTTTGTACAGAGAGGAAGAGAGAGAGTTAGAAACATTGATGAGAGAGAGTCACAGATCAGCTGCCTCTTGCACACCCCCTACTGGGGATATGCCCACAACCAAGGTACATGCCCTTGACCGGAATTGAACCCGGGCCTTTCAGTCCCGAAGCCGACGTTCTATCCATTGAGCCAAACCGGTCCTGGCGATATATATATATTTTTTAAATATATTTTGTTGATTTTTTACAGAGAGGAAGAGAGAGGAAATAGAGAGTTAGAAACATCGATGAGAGAAAATCAGCTGCCTCTTGCACACCCCCTACTGGGGATGTGCCGCAACTAAGGTACATGCCCTTGACCGGAATCGAACCTGGGACCTTTCAGTCCACAGACCGATGCTCTATCCACTGAGCCAAACCGGTTTTGGCTCTAATATATTTTTATTGATTTCTGAGAGAGGGTGAAAGAGGTAGAAACATCAATGATGAAAGAGAATCAGTGATTGGCTGCCTCCTGCACACCCCCTTCTGGGGATGGAGCCTACAATCTGGCCATGTGCCCTTGATTGGAATTGAACCTGGGACCCTTCATTCTGCAGGCCAATGCTCTATCCACTGAGCCAAACCAGCTAGGCAGCATTCTGTAACTTTTGGCTGGGATATGGGAACAAATCGCATCTTTGCTGTCCTTGTGGATCAAGGACCTTGTCTGCCAGCCTGGCTCCTGTCTTTTTCAGTCAAGTAGCCTCCACCTCACAGTGGCCTTCATACTTGGACCTGCCCCCTGCCCCTGAACTTGACTGGATGGAGACAGGACAACCCCTGACATTCATTGGTCATCAGGTACAATGGACAAGCCAGCCTGGAAAGCACAAATGCCCCTCGGCTCCCACACCCCTCCCCCAGGTTTCCACCCATCTTGTCTTCGCTGCAGGCTTTTCTGTAGTATAGTTTTCAGGTGTGTTACTCACCCTCCATCCATACCTGTTGCCCCCACTGCCACTTGGGAGTGCTAGCACCCGCCCTGCCTCATCTGGAGAAGTCCAGTTGAACATCCCTGGGTGTCCCGCGGCCTCTGTAACTAGCCCCTCCTGTATTCCCAATAGGCCTAATGCAGATCCTCTCCCCTCCGCCTCCGCATCCTAGCAAGTGTGCCCACTGCCTCAGTCCATTAATCTCTAACAGTTCCTGCCCCTCCCCCTGCTGTCTTTAGTCTTTTTTTAATTTTTATTATTTTTTTTTAATATCAGAGATGGAGAGGAAGAGATAGAAATATCAATTATGAGAATCATGGATCGGCTGTCTCCTGCACACCCCATACTGGGGATGGAGTCCACAACCCAGGCTTGTGCCCTGGGCAGGAATCAAACCAGTGACCTCCTGGTTCGTAGGTCAATGCTCAACCTCTGAGCCACACTGGCTGGGCCTTAGGCTTTACTCCAGCTGTACTGTGCTCTTTGCTTTGTGCACATGCACTTGCATTGCCTTAAATATGCTTTTCCTCATGACCTCGTTACTAACCTCCCCTCAGGTTTTAACTCAAATACCCCATTTCCTGGAAGGCTTATCTGAAGTTCTCTCCTTTAAATGGATGTAGTACCATGTATAAGCCTGTGAATGTAATTGTGCTTTTTTAATTCTCTTCCCCAACATGTTATGTTGTAAGAAAGGGTTTTGTTTACCTGGCATATAGCAGGTAAACAAAACCCTTTCTATGAAGACAGAGTCGTGAAGACAGGACTTGCAGTGGTTGCCTGTGCTTAGGATTTAGGGCACAGAACTAGCATGTGCATTGGCTCCACCCGCCTCCTAGTCTGCCCTTTCTCTAGCTGTGAGTGTCCCATTATCCCCGGCTTTCTATATCTAGTTTTTCCTTCCCCACTTCCCACTGCAGGACACGCCAGGAGTTGGTAACATCCACTCAGGTAAGTGTTTCTCCAACTGTAAGAGGTGCTTTTTTTTTTTTTTTTTTTTAAAGCAGTTGAATGGCCCCTTGGCCTTCTGGCTAAGACCAAGTGTAGTAACTTTTTTTCTTGTTCCACTTAGTTTTGCATTCATTTGTTGATTCTTATGTTCCCCAACCAGGAGGGAATCCACAACATAACCAACTGAGCTACCCTGCCAGGGCATAGTATCTATTCTGGACCAGTTTAATATATCATAGATACATCCTTTAACTGAGGACAATGTATCAGATGGGCTTTTGGAGCAAGGAGATGGAATAGGAAGGAACTTGCTCCATCCACTCCATGCTTCGGCCTGGTATTACACCAGGAACGGTGCCCCAGGAGAAATAAGATGAAGATAAAGCACTAACTGCAATTAGCTGCCCAACAGATAAATGGAGGAAGATGAGATCTGTGTGTATCCACAATAAAAAAATGAAAGCTTGCCATTTGGACCTAGAGAGTATTATGCTGAATATAAGTCAGAAAAAGACAAATACCACACAATCTCATTTATATGGGAAATCTAAAAAAACCAAAAGAAACAGGCCCATATAGAGAACAAGCTGATGATTTCCAAAGGGTAGGGGGGGTCAGGATGGGAATGAAGGGGGAAAAAAAAGAAAACCAATTAAGGGCTTAGATGAGCATATCAAGAACCCAAAACTCAGTAACAAGCTGTTCCTCAGAACGGCTCAGAGAGGCTGGGCCTGTGCTGGAAGAACTTGTTCGTTGCTGGTGCAGTGGGAAACGGCAGTCACTTTGGAAAACAGTCAAGTGATGCCTTAAACATATGTTGTGATCCAGCCATTCCAAGAGTAAAGAAAGGCCTGTACACAAATGGTCATAGTTAGCCAATCTGAAAACAGCCGCCTCAAGTGATAACTGGAGCAGCGCCCCCAGCGGAGGAACTGCTGGCATCCGCACACCGGACTCTCCAAGTAACTAGCGGTCTCTTCCAGGCGCCACGCCACCCTGGATGGCGCCAGAGGAGGAGCACAGCTCTGGGGCCCACCCGATAGGCCCTTCCTATGAAGAGTTTCTTAAAGAAAGTGAGTGAACTACAGAAGAATGGCAGTGGGGCTCTGCAAAGCTGCCCACTCACATAAAGCCACTTACTTGTTATAGAGGAAAAACAGAAATTGAAGAAACTCCCCCCAGACAGAGTTGGAGCCAACTTCGACCACAGCTCCAGCACCAGTGCGGGCTGGCTGCCCTCCTTTGGCCGGGTCTGGAACAACGGGCGCCGCTGGCAATCCAGGTATGGGTCCAGGGCCAGGACCCCCCTCGCCCCAGTCATCCTTTTGTCCTGTTAACCCCTCATTTCCTTTCAGGCATCAATTCAAAACTGAGGCCGCAGCAAGGAACAAACAGCAGTCAAAGAAAATGGTTTCCTAAGGCTAGAACCCACCCCTGCCGCTACCCTTTGTGACCGCCTCGCTTAGGAAAGACACACCCACTTACAGATTTAATAAAGGTTTATTTTTCAAAATGCACAGTTGGTGAGATCTGTTAAAAAAAAAAAAAAAGTAAAAAGCATCAGTCTACGGCTTATAAAGGGGAGCCATATTCCCGCACAAGCCCCTGGATTCTTGCTCACCTATTGTTCACGCATCTTCTCCCGCAGCAGGGGCATCCCCGCCTTTAGTGTTTCTGGTGTAAATCACCTGGGCTCTGTGCTTTGAGACCAGTTTAATAAGTCCTAAGGAGAAAGAACAAGGCTTCCACATACTGCTTTCCAAACAAATGCTGAATCTGAGCATGAATTCAATGGCAGACACGCCACATTCTGCGTGATAGCCTAATTTTACTTATCTTTTGTAAATGAGGGGACTCACCACCTGCTCAAGATGGCCACCCACACAGCACTTAGAGCACAAAAATGCCGTTAGAATCATATTACTAACCACCACTGGTTAGCCCAAGCCTATGCTTTTTTTTTTTTTTTAAACGAATTTCAGTTAAAATATTTAAGATGGCTAAAATGGCTATTTGAGCATCGACCTATGAAACAGGAGGTCACTGTTCAATTCCTGGTCAGGGAACATGCCTGGGTTGTGGGCTCGATCCCCAGTGGGGGGTGTAGAGGAGGCAGCCCATCAGCAATTCTCATCACTATGTTTCTATCCTCTCCCTTCCTCTCTCAAATCAGTAAAAATAAATTTTAAAAATATGTGCAAAACCACTCCAGTGCAATATTCCCCCTCACCTTTGCTGAGGAGCTCCTGAAGGGCTGCCCTGGCCAAGGAGCCGCGAATCTTCAGCCGCTCGGAGACCACCGCCGGGGTGATGAGCTTGTAGTTGGGAACTTCCTTACAGAGCTTCTCATACGTGGCTTTGTCAAACAAGACCAGGTTATTGAGCTTGTCCCGAACTTTGCCTTTGGACCACTTCTGCTCACAAAAACAAAAAGGAAGGGTCAGTGCTCCTGACAGAATCCCCCTTGCGCTCCCAGACAACTCTATCAGAAGCTCCTGTACTAGCAGGGCTGGGAGGGTGACAGGACTGAGGTTCCTGGGCCTGAAACTACAAATTAAGATTCAAATAATTAGGATATACAGTAAGAGGCCCTGGTAACCTTTAATGGCATCGCATCAATCAGGCTTTGAACTCCACGTGGGTGGAGTTCCACCGAACTGGTTGGAATGATGTTACATGAGAGGCACCAGAACAAATGTCTTCAAACACATTTGAAGTTCCGAGTGGCATGCGCTACACCGTTCATGAAAGGAGAAGAAGCGAGAATGGCGATAGGCGCCTGAGCTCTGCCGGTCTGCCTCTGCACCCACAGCGCTAAAGGCCAGCTGCTGCCCATCTCTACTCACTACTCCGGCCTCTCAGCGGGCTCACTCCTACCTTCTTTTTGGCCTTGCCCCCCGACTTGTTCACAGGGTCTTTGTCCTTCTTGGCCGACTTTCCAGCATCTTTCTTCTTCTTGTCGTCCTTGGGCGGCTGTGGAAGAAAAGTGGGGATAACCGCCGGCCCCTAGCGCGGCCCAGACCCCATCGCGGCGCCCGATCCGGCCCCAGCGGAGCACGTGGCGGCGGGCCACCCGCCCCGGCTGCGGCCGCGCCCCGGGCCCCTCCCGCGGAGCCTCCGCCGCGCGGACACGGCGCCGCCGGCGTCCGGGCCGCAGCGCCGCACTCACCATGGCGGGGGTCGGAGAGCACGGAGACGCTGCTGCCTCGCCAAGATGTCGGTAGAGAGGAAGCGCCGCTCCCCACCGGAGGCAGAAGCCGTCCCCGCCGGCAAGCGCTTCCGGGGCAAGGGGCAAGAGGCGGGGCCCGCGGAGGGCGCCCGAGGCCCCGCCCCTCGCTGGAGCCGGAAGCGGAAGCGGCTGAGCCGCTGGGCTCCGATTCCGGCGCCGGGCCCCGCCTGCCTCGTCGAGCTGCGCCGCGGGTTGGGGGGCGGCCGCGCGCTGCTCTGCCCGGGCACCGAGCCGGGAGCGGGACCGGGGACCCGCTGCGGGTCCAGGCGACCGGCTTCGGGCGCCGCGCCCCCCGCGCGTAGCCTCACGTGCGCCAGCGCGGCCGGCGGCGGGCGGGGCGGTGAGGGCGGCGGCCGCGGCCCAGCCAGGCCGCCCGCCGCCCGCTCGCCGCCGGCGCAGCCATGGCTATTTTCAGCGTGTACGTGGTCAACAAAGCCGGCGGCCTGATCTACCAGCTCGACAGCTACGCGCCACGAGCCGAGGCTGAGAAAACCTTCAGCTACCCGCTCGACCTGCTGCTCAAGCTACACGACGAGCGAGTGCTAGTGGCCTTCGGCCAGCGCGACGGCATCCGCGGTGGGCTGGGCTCGGAGGGAGGCCGCGGCGACGGGCTGGGCTCGGGAGGGCGATGGGCTGGGCTCGGAGGGAGGCCGCGGCGATGGGCTGGGCTCGGGAGGGCGGGCGCCCCGCGGCGGGGGGCTGGGCTCGGGAGGGAGGGCATCCTCGGCCGGGGGCTGCGGCTGCTGGGACCCGGACCGCATCCCTGTTTTCTTGGCGGAATCCACTGGATGGGGCTTCGTTGACCCTCCCCTCGCCTCGCCTCTGCAGTGGGCCACGCAGTGCTGGCCATCAACGGCAAGGACGTGAACGGCAAGTACACGGCCGATGGCAAAGAGGTGCTGGAGTATCTCGGAAACCCTGCCAACTATCCCGTGTCCGTGCGATTCGGCCGGCCCCGCCTCACCTCCAATGAGAAGCTCATGCTGGCCTCCATGTTCCACTCGTAAGTCCTCCAACCTGCCCCGTGCCTCCTGGCCAGCAGGAGCCCCTCCCGCGGAGCTCCACCGGCTCTTAGGCTGGCGGGTTAGTGCTCCGTGGGCAGGCGGTCTCCTGAGCGGCAGTGCTTACCTCACTCTGCTTTTAAGTCAGGAAAACTGTTCGGCCAGGTTTTAGGCAATACAGGCGTTGGTGGCTGTGGCTTATGTCAGCTCTGTTTATAGTAAGAGATCTTCAGGATCTTTTCCTGTTCTCACCCAGCATGAGCTGTGATGGATATGCTAGCCTTGGGCTAAGTAACATTCCCATTGTTAAGTTTAATTGATTCCAGAGAGAGAAACGTCAATGATAAGGGAGAATCATTGATCGGCTGTCTCCTGCACGCCCCCTACTGGGGATGGAAGCCACAACTCTGGCCTGTGCTTTGACCAGGAATCGAACCCTGACCTCCTGGTTCATAGGTCTACGCACAAGCATTGAGTCGCTTGGTGGGCTTCAGTGTTAATTTTTCCAAAGTTTTTAATGTAAAATGTTGTATAGCAAAGTATGAGTATACAACAAGACCTCACTTAACCTCCTCAGTGGGTTCTGCAACATTAAGCAAAAGAAGGTACAGTTGGCCTTGAACCAGAGGGTTTTAGGGTTGTGAGCCCGACAAATAACTCCCAAACAACTGTCTTCCCCTGGTGTCTGCAAGCCCAGTGGTTGGAGCATGGTCCAGATGCCAAGATTGAAGGTTGGATCCCCATCGGCACATACAAGAATCAGCCCGTGAATACCTAAATAAGTGGAACAAATCAATGTTTCTTTGTCCCTCCCTCCCACTCTAAAAATCAGTAAGTAAAACAGCATACAACTGCAGACAGTCGGCCCTCTACCTCCAGGAATCCCCTACTATGGATTGAAAATACTATTTTTGATCCAGAGATGGTTGAATCCTTCGATTTGAAACCCCTGGATAGGAAGGCCGACTATATGTTTTTTTTGGGGAAATTATGTATAAGTGGACCCACACAGTTCAAACCCATGTTTTGTTCAATTTTTTAAAAATATATTTTATTGATTTTTTAGAGGAGAAGAGAGAGGGATAGAGAGAGTTAGAAACATCAATGAGAGTCATTGATCAGCTGCCTACTGGGGATGTGCCCGCAACCAAGGTACATGCCCTTGACCGGAATAGAGCCTGGGACCTTTCAGTCTGCAGACCGACGCTCTACCACTGAGCCAAACCGGTTTCGGCTCAAACCCATGTTTAAGTGTCAATTGTATCATGAAACCAGTTTTGCCACAGGTCAATTGATGTGAAAAGTTCCTATGGCATCTCATCAGTGTTAAAATAAACGATGTTATTTGAGGACATGCTGTAAAATCCTTGTTTGGGAAGCACTCGCCCTCGCGCAGCGGCGTCCCCAGCTCTGCCTCCTTTGCAAATAGGCTGTTCGCAATCGGCTCTCAGCTGTCTCCCGAGCAGGGCAGCTCGGGCATTGAGGTGCTGGAGACAGACACATTCAAGCTGCACTGCTTCCAGACCCTGACAGGTACGGCTCCAGAGGCCCGGGGACGCGCTGGGCTGGCTGTGGGAGGGACGGGCCAAAGCTGGGGGAAGCAGCGGCTGCCTCCCGGGGCAGTCAGGCATGGACACGTCTGTCTGTCTTGTGAATGCAAAGCTGGTTAATGTGTAATCTGCCGCTGGTTTTGTCCACCCCCCCAGAACGCTCAGCCCGGTTATCTTGTGCACACATAAAACTTACTGTCAGCTCCTGGTGCGCACATTTTGGAAAGTGTTGTTTCAAAATGAAATTTGAATGCCAAGTGGTGACCTTTGGATCTTGAGTTCCATTGCTTCACTCCCTTTTAACGCAGATAATTGAAAGTTGCCTGAGTTTGTCCACTGCCTGCACTTTCTGCTGAGGGACCTCCAACTCCAGAGGAAAGTGATAGAGAAAACAAAGCCTCATCTCAGCTGAGGGATGTGATAAAATCACTTCAGCTCTTGGTCTCACTTATGGATTAAAGCCTTGCCTTTCTGCTCTGGAGCAATAAGGATAAAACGAAAACGGGCTGATGGAAGTTGCCAAACTGGAGTGCTGTACAAACACAGGGTGACCGTTGCCTCTCTACCTTTGGTAACCATTGCTGGCCCCCCCTAGGAATCAAGTTTGTGGTGCTGGCAGACCCTAGGCAAGCCGGAATAGACTCTCTGCTCCGAAAGATTTATGAGATCTACTCAGACTTCGCCCTCAAGAATCCATTCTACTCCCTGGAAATGCCTATCAGGTAGGTGGTCCCACTCCCCAGATCAAGTTCTGCCCCAACCTGTGTGCTCTCCTCCAAAGCCACTTTGAGGTCTGATAGAGCTTTTAAAAAATAAAGCAAGAGCGAGCAGCCTTTTACTTATTTTAAGAAATTCGTGACTTTTCCTTGGAAAGTGTATCCTTCAAGCAGGCACTTCACTGGCTCTGCCTCTGTACCCAGAGCGGGGAGAGAGCCTCAGCCGCTCCCTCTGTCCTTACGTGTGCCTCCTGGGCCTGTGCAGGTGTGAGCTGTTCGACCAGAACCTGAAGTTAGCCCTGGAGGTGGCAGAGAAGGCTGGAACTTTTGGACCCGGGTCATAGGCTGAACCTGCAACACCCACTGTTGCCTTCCTAAACGCAGCCCTGTGGCAGGTCCCCTGAGGCCTCCAGTGGAGTCCGGCGCCTTGTTAGTACATCTGAAGGGGGAGGGGCTGACCCCTGAGCCTACTGCCCTGCTCTTCCCTCATACCTGTCCCGGTCCCACTCCCACTCTACACACTTTATTTATGGAGGAGTGGGCCCATAAATGCTGTAATAAACATTCCTTTGATCTCAGTGTTTGTGATCCTAATTGATGGTTTTGGTGGAAAGGCCCAGGAGGGGAGGCAAAAATATAAGGAATTCTGGGGAGATAATCTAGTAAAAAACACACAAATGTGCTCATTAAATGAGTGAACGTGGGGCTTTGAATCAGGGCCCTTGGATCTAGTTTCATAATTGCTCTGTCTTTTGGGCTGATGATGGTGGTGATAGAACTTTACAGGTGTTTACAGCCAGGCTTTACTGAATTGTTGCTTTATCTCATTTAATCCTCACACTCAAACCTCGGGGCGGGCGAGGCTCTGTGCTGCAGTCTCAGAGGCAGTTACTGGCAGACCCAGGCTTCTGTCTCCACTCCTTAATTTGCGCCAAACCCGGTAACCGCACCTCTGAAGTGATGGTTGAGGTAGATAGTGTTAAACTGAAGGCGGAGGAGACGTACATTCACAGGAGGCCGTGTCCGCTCTTCCGCTCCCGGGAGCTCCCTCTCACTTTCAGGGTGGGAAGAGCAGGCCCTGGGAGGGTGTTTTGGGGAAAGCTGCCTGGCTTATATATTCCTCTTGAAAGAAGGACTAACTCGCTATCCGTGTTTAGTATCAAATCTAGCTTTAATCTTTTGGACCTGGGTCATTGGCTAAACCTATAAAGTCTTCCTCCCCTCCCACCCATACCGGATGGGGGGGGGCACCCAGGATAACGGTGAGAGTGATGGTCGCCCCCTGGCCCCTGAGGAGCTGGCAGTAGCAGTTACCTCTGCTGAGAGGCCTCAGGGCAGAAGGCAGGGCCAAGTGCGGCCGGGCAGGGCCCAGGAGAGAAGAGTGGAGGGGACTCCTGGCTGTAAGAGTTCCTGTTTGAAGGCAGAAAATAGAAGCTAATGGAATCCTAGAACAGAGGGTATCTTTTCAATAGAGCGCAGGACGGGGAGCAGAACCTCGTTAGCCACTGATCCTGGCCGGGAAGAGGAGCAGAAGGCAGTCAGGCTCAGTGCAGCCAGAGCAGCCCTCCTCTCCCGGGGGCGCGGGGCCGCGGGCGGGCGGGCTCTGGAACCTGCCTCTCACTCGGCCTTCGTGGGCACACGGCCCATCTTGGTGCGGATGTTCCGCAGGACGAAGAAGGCAACTGTGCTGGCTGCGCAGATCACTTCTGCCACCCAGAAGGCTGTGCTCCAGCTGTAGTGCTTGGCGATGGTGCTGAAGGGCAGCCCGGCCAGAAAGCCACCCACTGCAGGAGGAGGAGCAAGAGCAGAGTCACTTGTGAAACTAGTCAGGGGGCGCCCCAGCCTCGAACTGCCCATGTGGGGGTGAGCAGAGACAAAAGGGGATCGCTTACCATTGGCCATGAGTCCCACGATGGCATGGGAGGTGCCACACAAGTTGGGAGGGGCACTCTCATTGGCAATGACTCCAAACAAGGCAATGGGACCGTAAGAGGAGAAACCAAACAGAGCTCCCAACACCAGGATCCAGAGCTGCGGGGAGTGCAGGCGGCACTGAGCGGCCGGGCACGCCCACCGCCCCACCAGAGAGGAGGCACCCCAGGAACAAGGGACCCCTCACCCCTCACCCACTCCCAGCTGCCAGCGCGGAGCCGGGGAGTGGCGGCCACCTGAGGCCATGCGGGTGGGGGGAGATACAGGAGCCCTGCCTCTGAGCGGGACTGGCGGGCACGGCAGAGGGGAGGACAAAGGTGAGAAACAGGCAAAGATAAGGCACCTCCTGCTCCGTAAAGCCCGTGAGCTCAGAGAGAGGGTGAAGAGCCAGAGTCCAGAAAGCAGCGTCCTGAGGAGCAGAGGAGAAAACCAGAGCAGAGTCAAGGCGGGCACCGAGGTGCAGAGGAGAGGAGCCGAGGCACAAACAGAACCAGAAAGGGAAACGGCCAGAGGAGAGCGAGTCCGTGGCCCTTGCTTCCTCCTCATTCCGTGCTTGCCTTGGCCCAGCCCCTTACCTTGGGGGCGTCCCTGGTCACAGTGACCCGGAAGAGGTACATGGACGCTGTCATGCCTGCCATCATCAGCAGCAGCAGGCCATGGCGAGGGTTCCCGTGGGTGGACGGCCGAGCCTGTGGAGACGGTCCAGCAGTGTCAGGCCCAAGACCCTGGACTCTGACACAGGCCTCTGCTGGCGGCCGTTCCAGTCCCTCCACTGGGACCTCCGATGCTCTGGGGCCAAACTCCAATGTCCCTTCCTCCCTGCAGCCAGCTCGGGACTGCTGGCCGCTGCACCTCCTCCCAGCCATTGCTGGGCTTGTGAGGAGCCCACTGCTAGGCTGAGAAATTCTGGCTCATTTTGACATAAGTTATATATTTTTAAAAACCCTTTCCCCAAAGGCCTGATTTTGACATTGGCCTAAACCAGCACATGCCAACCTGCCTGTGCCCCAGGGCTCCCACCTCTGGTGCCTGTCCCATTCTGGCTGGGAAGATGTGTGTGTGTGTGTGTGTGTGTGTGTGTGTGTGTGTATGGAGAGAGAGAGGGAGTGTGATTTCAGAAAGGAAGGAGGAGAGAGACAGAAACATCAATGATGAGAGAGAATCATTGATGGGCTGCCTCCTGCACGCCCCACTGGGGATGGGACCTGCAACCTGGGCCTGTGCCCTTGACTAGAATCAAACCTCGGGCCCTTGAGTCCACAGGCCACTGCTCTATCCACTGGGTCAAACTGGCTAGGGCTCTGGCTGGAAGATTTAGGGACCCTCCTGTCCCTTCTGCCCACTCACCTTCGCCATGGCCTGGTCCGACAGGTAGCCGGCGGCAATGCTGCCAACAAGGCCCCCGACCTCCAGGGCACTCATGTAGGAGCTCCCTGCAAGGGGTGTGGGAGAGAAAAAGGTGTTGCACATTGGTTGTCCCTGAGGCTCCCCAAAGGCTGGTCACAGCTGCCTGCATAGCACCAGCCTCGGGAGAGAAGAAAAGGAAAGGAGGGAAGCCGGCCTGCATTGCCCACCCCGTCCCAGCGGCCTCTTACCCACAAGGGCCGACTGTCCTTTCTCCTGGATGAGGAAGAACTGGCCCCAGTCCGTACAGCAGGTCTTCACTCCAAACACCACCAGGTAGCCCGTGGAGAGCACCCACAGGTAGGGGGACAGCAGCAGCTCCTGTAAGGTACTCTCCTCCTTCACGGAGCCTGGGGGGAGGCAGGCCTCAAGCTCTGCTCTGCTGCCCTCCCCCAGGGCGCCCGCCAGCCATTAGCCAGCCCCAGGAACAGAGTCCGCCAGAGCCGGGCAGCGAGGTCCCTCACGCCCGCTGCCCTCCCTCGCTGCCCGCCTCAGCCAGGGGCGACATGAGGACGGGGCGGAGGGAGGAGAGCCCGGCCGCGGCCGCTTAGGCTGCTGCCGGGCCAGAGAAGCCCCGTCTGTGGGGAAGGGTCAGGTGAGAATATGAATCCTAGCACTATGGGCACATTTGTCTGGCACGTAAATGTGTTTGGAATGGAGTTTTATCTACGCCCACCCTCTCCATCATCGTCCTGCCCCTCCCCTTGGCTAGCACGGGCTGTGCAGGTGCGCACGTCACCCCAGCCAGTCCTCGATAGCATCGCCACGTATGACCGAGGGGCCCGCCTCGCCGGTGCTCACCCTTCTTGCCCTTGGAGGGGGTGGGGTCCAGGTTGCGGAGTCCGACGTCGGCAGGCTCGTTGCGGATAAGCAGGAGACACAGGAAGGAGACGGCCACACACAGCGCCCCCGACAGGGCCAGCGTGCTGCGCCAGCTGTAGCTCTGGGCCAGGATGGTTGCCAGGATGGGGCCCAGCCCTCCAGCCAGGTTCATGCTGGTCGACAGGATGGCCCACCAAGTGCCAAACTGAGATGGCTCAAACCACTGCGGGCGGGCAGAGGGACAGAGTAGGCAGGTGCCCAGCCTCCCTGCCACCCGCAGAGGAGGGGATCCAGGGGCAGACCCGGAAGCTCACGTGACGGAATGAGGAAAGGCCATTCCCCTCATTTCCGCCTGATCCCCCGTGTCAGGCTCCTAAAACACCGACAAGCGGCGGGAGCCGGACCGCGCTCCTGACAAACCCCTCGGCGGAGGCCTCACCTTCCTGAGGACCTTCCCGCACGGGGGCCAGCCCAGGCCCTGCGCCAGGCCGTTGAGGAACCAGAGGGCGGCGAAGGCGGACACGGTGGAGCTCCAGGAAAAGGCCACGTTGACCAGGCCGACCAGGAGCAGCCCCGATGAGAAGAGCCAGCGAGCGCTCATCTGGTCAGACAGCACTCCGCTCACAAACTTGCTGATGGCGTAGGCTGCCGACTGGCTGCTGGTGATGAGCCCTGCAGGGGGGGAACAGGCCCGGGGGTCAGGGGCAGGCAGAGGCACAGGAGAGGTTGGGGAGAGGGGTCAGGGGGGCAGTGGTGCTGGCAGGGTGAGGCAGCTTCCTTCCAGGAGCGCCAGGAGGGCCGGTGGCCACTGCCCTGCCTCAGGGCTCTCCCTGCTTCCCGGCAGCCGAGCCCGCCTGACCCGTGGCCTTTCGGCCTCCTGGGGAGTGCCAGGGACAGCTGCCTGGAAGCAAGAGGGGCAGGACAGGAGCACCTCCCCGGGGTTCGCCTCCACTTGGTTCCCTCGCCCTGGTGCCAACCAGGTCTCTGGCCACTCTGCTCCCCACCTTTGAACACGGGGCGAAGGGCTTAGAATGGAGTCAGGGACGTGGTCCTCCGGAAAGGTAGCCTGCTGGGCACGTGAGGCCCCGGTGCCGACCCGTTCCCGTGCTCTCAGCGCGCCCGCACCACAGGCAGCGGGACTCAACCCCCTGGGCACACAGCGCCAGCAGTGCCTCTGGGTGCACGTGGGACACACAGATCCTCATGGCCTGTGCTGTCCATGGATCACAGTCCTCCACCCACACCACGTACTCCGCTCCCGCCTCCGCCCGGCCACGGAGCCGTCCCGCCCCTCCGCCGTGCAGATGCGCACACGGCGCAGGGCTGCACCCACCACTGAGCCGCACACTCGTCGGCCGCCACCCGCCCCGAGGGCTCACCCAGGTCGTCCTTGTCCAGAGGGACCTCCTCCACCAGCGAGGGCATGACGAAGGAGAAGGTCTTGCGGTTGAAGTAGTAGAGGCTGTAGCCCCCGTACATGGCCGCGAAGATGACGGCGCGGTAGTAGCCGTAGCCCCGGGCGGCCATGGCGGAGCCCGGCCTGAGGCGGACAGGCGCTGACGGCCTCTCTGCCGCTCCCCAGCTGCCGCCGACCTGCTGAGCTGGCCTCCCCCTCCTCCCCGCACCAGGCCCTTTATAGCCGCCTCTGGGCAATCATTAAGCGCAGCGGAGGGAACCCGGTGTCCTGGGGAGGCAAGAACACAGAGCGACGGCCAAGCTGGGGGCCAGCGCCTGAGCCGCCGACCTGTGTCCCCAGCCGGCCTCCTGCCCTCCCCGTGCTCCCGCCCGCCCGCCCCGGTGATTAACGGCTCCCTGACCACTGCCTGCCAGCCGGGCGGAGGAGGGCCTGCCGCCCGCCCCGCCCCGCCCGCCCGTCCCCCCCGCCCCGCCCGGCCCGACCGCCCGGCCCCGCACCGCCCGCCCGCCCCGCGCCGCCCGCCCCGCACAGCCCGGCCCCGACCGCCCGCCCCGCCCCGCGCCGCCCGCCCCGCACAGCCCGGCCCCGACCGCCCGCCCCGCCCCGCGCCGCCCGCCCCGCACAGCCCGGCCCCGACCGCCCGCCCCGCCCCGCGCCGCCCGGGCCCCGCCCGGCTCGACCGCCCGGCCCCGCACCGCCCGCCCCGCGCCGCCCGCCCCGCACAGCCCGGCCCCGCCCCGCCCGCCCGGCCCCGTCACCCCCGCGCCGCCCGCCCCGCCCGCCCCGCTCCGCACAGCCCGGCTCCGCACCGACCGCCCCGACCGCCCCGCACAGCCCAGCCCCGTCCACGCCCGCCCCGCCCGGCCCGCACCGCCCGCCCGTCCGTCCCGTCCCGTCCCCCCCGCACCGCCCCGCCCAGCCCGGCCCCGCACCGCCCGCCCGGCCCCGTCACCCCCGCGCCGCCCGCACCGCCCCGCACCCAGCAGAGCTGCGGCGGGCCCGGGGTGCGGGGCCGCACGGCGGGGTGAGCCCGCACGCCCACCCGCAGGTGCCGGCAGCGCCACGTGCGAGGCCACGGACCGGCCCAGCCCCGTCCCCCAGCTCGGCGCCCGGGCGGACCTGGCCCGATGCCGCTCCAGGGGGAGGCCGCCCGGCGGGGCTCACAGGGTCACCCCGAGGCCTCCAGGGCTGGAGTCGAAGGGTCACTCAGCGCCTCCGCTGCCTGGGCCGTGACCCGGCGGCTGGGCTGCGGTGCCTGCCGCCCGCCCCGCCTCCGAGGCGGGCGCCGCCGGGCGGAAGGAGCGGGCGGCGGGGCGGGACCCTGCGGGGCCCCTGTGGGCGCCCGGCGGGCGGCCGTGGGGAGGAACTCGCCCGGCAAGCCCATGGCCGCCGCTGCCCGCACCGGCCCGGCGGCAGGATCGCCCGGCGGCAGGATCGCCCGGCGGCAGGATCGCCCGGCGGCAGGATCGCCGGGGCGCGGAGACTCCGCCTGATGCACGTAACGGAGCGGCGCCGCGGGCCCCGGAACCAGCGCGGGGGCCGCTCCGGCGGCGGCGGAAGGGGGGCCTTCGCTGGGGCGCCGGCCCGGAGCTGGGCCTGAGGTCGGCGCTCCGCAGCCACCTACCAGCGCCCGGGAGCCGGGGGCGGGCGGCGTCTGCGCCCAGCCCGGAGGGGGGGGGGCGGAGAGCCCAGTCCAGGCCCCGGTTCAGACCTAACCCCGCCGTCACCCCGTCCCTGGCCAGGGCCTCTTCTGAGGACGCATTTGTACTGGTTCCCGAGAGGAGGGAGAGAGGGAGGGAGGGAGGGGATGGAAACGCCAGGAGCAGAGAATCCCTGGTTCTCCGCCTGCAGCCCGCAGGTGCCCTGCCCGGATCCAGCCTCCTGGCTCTCAGGCCCACGGCCACCATGGAGCCAGGCCAGCAAGCTTACATTTGTACACGCCAGCAATGAGCTCTCAGAAAGAGAAACCAAGAACACTAGTACAATGGCATTTCCCATTGTAACAAAACAAAAAACACGGTACCTAGCCCGGCCCAGAGGTTTGAGCATCCACCGCGGGTCGCCAGGTGGATGCTGGTGCAGTCATTATGAAAAACAGTATGGAGTTTCCTCAAATAATTGAAAAATGGAACTCCATTTGACCCAGCTACCCCACTTCTGGGAATATAGCCCAAGAAACCTGAAACACCAATCAGAAAGAATGTATGCACCCTATACTCATAGCCAGTGTCTAGAAACAACTTTAGTGCCCATCAGTAGATGAGTGGATAAAAAAGATACAGTAATTGCCCAACTGGCATGGATCACCAGTTGGAGGCATGAAGGAGACAGCCTATTAATGATTCTCTCTCATCATTGATGTTTCTGTCTCTCTCACTCTCCCGTCTTCTCTGAAATCAATAAAAACATAAAATATGTTCGTTGTCCTGGTGCACAAGACAACACGGAACCAATTGAGCCACAGCATTTGGCCAGTTTTTACAAAAGATCCTATCTATGTAAAATTAGATTTTTTTAAAAAAAAGGTAATATGTGATCAAAGTTAATTTTCTTCCTAAGGCCCAAATAAAGAGAAACCAGCTACCCATTTAAAAAAGAAAAAATAGCCCGGCCAATGTGGCTCAGTGGTTGAGCATCAACCTATGAGCCAAAAGGTCACAGTTTCATTCCCAATCAGGGCACATGCCCAGGTTGTGGGGGTTGCAGGCTCAATCCTGTGTGAGGCGCACAGGAGGCAGCCGATCAATGATTGTCTCTCATCATTGATGTTTCTCTCTCTCTCTCCTCTCCCTTCCTCTCTGAGATCAATAAATATATATATATATATATATATATTTTTTTTTTTTAAAAAGGGCAACTGGACGAAACCGGTTTGGCTCAATGGATAGAGCGTCGGCTTGGGGACTGAAAGGTCCCGGGTTCGATTCCGGTCAAGGGCATGTACCTTGGTTGCGGGCATATCCCCGGTAGGGGGTGTGCAAGAGGCAGCTGATCGATGACTCTCTCTCATCGATGTTTCTAACTCTCTCTATTCTCTCCCTTCCTCTCTGTACAAAATCAATAAAAATATATTAAAAAAAATAAAATTAAAAAAGGGCAACTGGACTTGAAAGAAAATTCTTTAAAAAAAAAAAAAAAGATTATTGCCAAAGCCGATTTGGCTCAGTGGTAGAGCGTCGGTCTGCGGACTGGAGGGTCCAAGGTTCGATTCCGGTCAAGGGCATGTACATTGGTTGTGGGCACATCCCCGGTAGAGGGTGTGCAGGAGGCAGTTGGTCGATGTTTCTCTCTCATTGACGTTTCTAGCTCTCTATCTCCCTTCCTCTCTGTAAAAAATCAATAAAAAGATATATATTTTTTAAAAATTGAAGAAAAAATGTTCAAATCATGAAATATTTCTATAATAAACTTAGAAAATTATATATATATATATATATATATATATATATATATATATATATATATATAAAGATTAGTATTGGCTCAGGAGTTGGAGCATTGTCCCCCAGACTGAAGGTTCCTGGCTTCAATTCCAGTCCAGGGCGCATACCTCGGTTGCAGGCTCAATCCCTGTCCCTGGTTGGGGCGTGTGCTAGAGGCCGTCTCTCTCTCACTGATGTTTCTATCGTATTTCCCTGAAAATAACACATCCTCCAAAATAAGACCTACTTACAGGTTTCCTTCTGAGTGAAATATAAGGCATCATCTGAAAATAAGGCCTCCCTAGGCTCTGTCTCAGAATGCTATTGCTAAACATGAGAGATTTGGTCCACTGATTCTGAAAGAAATGGAGTCACAAGAAATTCACCACCCTCTCATCACTGATGTTTCTATCACTCTCTCCCTCTCCCTATCTCTCTGAAATCAATAAAAATATAAATAAAAAAGAAATTCACCAGGAAATTCAGGAATTGGATTGTTATGATGATGTCCCAGAAGATGATGACATGATTGTCATTGAATAAATGAGTAAATTCTTGATACTGTAGGATTCACAGTTTGTCTGGTTTGTGTTGACAACTATTGTACTACCGTACCATATACAGGTAATAAATTTCCTTTATTTTCATTTAACAATAAATGTGTACCATATTCTTCTTCATGGAAAAATAAGACAACCCCTGAAAATAAGACCTAGCGCATCTGTGGGAGCAAAAATTAATATAAGACACTGTCTTATTTTTGGGGAAACAAAGTATCTCCCTGTCTCTCCCCCTCCATTCCACTCCTCTAAACAACAGGACAAAGTGTCCTCAAGTGAAGATTAACAGCAACAAAAGATTAGTATCATTGTATTTGATGTATTATAATCTGTGCCCACTATTATCTATCTTATTGCTCAAATTGTCTCATATTTGGTCAGTGGAGCCCTTATATGTTTAATTTTTACTTATTTTAAAATATTTTATTTATTTCAGAGAGGAAGGGAGAGGGAGAGAGAGAGAGAAACATCAATGATGAGAAAGAATCCTTGATAAGCTGCCTCTGCACACGCCCTACTGGGAATTGAGTCCACAGGCCTGGCATATGCCTGTCTAGGAATCAAACTGTGACCTTCAGGCTTATAGATTGCCACTCAACCACTGAGCCACACCAGCTGGGCTTTTAAATGTTTTCCATCATTCATGTTATACGTTATTATTAGCATAAACTTGGAAAAAATAAAAAAGTTTTAAATGCCAGTTGAAATTGTCACTTATAACAGCATTTCTGATTTCATTCTTTTGTGTACATATGTGTGTACATATATATCTTAGAATATATAAATTAGTCTTCCCCATTGACTTGAAGTTTTCTGTTTACTTGTCAGCCTCTCCAACTCCATAAACTCCATGAGGACGGACGATGGCCCCTTTACCCTCCGCGCAGGGCGTGCTGGTTCGGAACAGATGCTCTGTAAATTGGTAGGTGAGCAATCACTCACATCTATAAACATCTTCTATATTATTGCACACACATTTCTAAGAAAATATTTTTATTGATTTCAGAGAGAAGGGAGAGGGGGAGAGAGATAGAAACATCAGTGATGAGAGAGAATCATTGACTAGCTGCCTCCTACAAGTCCCGCACAGGGGAGAAAACCCACATGCGCCCTGATTGGGAATTGAAC